ATTAAATATGAAAATAAAAAAAGGAATTAAATAAAGAAAATACAAAAAAATGTTAATAATGTAACAAAATGAAATATGAAAAAAATAAAACAAGAAATAAGAAAAAGAATATAACAAGAAATAAAGAAAAAAATAAAACAAGAAATTAAAAGAAAGAAAAACAAATTAAAAAATTATAAAGGAAATTAAAACAACAAACCAGGGGGTATTAATAGGTCATGGAACCCACGGTAAGAACCAAGTTCTTCAAACATGACATGGGTATAGACACAATTTCTCAGGTAACAAGGGGGTCGCTAGACCCACAGGAAGAACGAAGCTCTGTAAACATTAGTACTGCATTCATGTTGTTTACTAAGACGAAAACTTAAAAAACGAATGAAAAAAAAGAAAAATACAATAAGTAGATTAGTACTCACGATAGTTAAACTTCGTGTAAGCCTCGTGTATAAATACAGTACTCACAAAGCTCAAACATCGTGAGTACTAAACTACTCAGTGTTTTATTTATTTATTTTTTTTTTTCATTATCTTTTATGTTTCCCAAGCTCTTATTTTAGGCTACCTTATAGAGATAGCCTGTTTCCCTACCTCTGCTATAAATTTCTACATTACTTCTTATGTAATAACGTTGAAGAAACATGGTGGAAGTCAGAGGTGTGCAGAAAAATAAAAATTAAGTTGTCAAGTGAGTAAAAACATGTTTTCCAACTATTATTTTTTCTGTTTTCAAATTGGTTACTAATATAACACTGCTTTAAAATTGCTCTTTTCCGTCGCTCATAAATGCAACCACTCCTATGCCGTAAAAACTTACGTACATATATGATATCACATTTATTTATGATTTTTTAATTTTTGGTATAACACAAAGAAATTAAAAAGAGAAGTATGAGTCTATAACAGCAGAAAACATGTATTTCAGCAACAAATATAACGGTTACAATCGGGCCAACTAGTCATCAAATCTTTTGCATCACACAAGCTGTACTTTTTTAAGTGATTTTAAATGAAAATAAGTCTGACTACTTTTAAAATGTGCCAAGTCCTTGTGTCGTCAAAACCAAAGAGCTTAAGCATTGGCTTGACGTAATAAAAACTGATATTGAATTCATTCTGGAATAACATTAGAATCAATAATATTTGTACGGTAATACCAACCTTATTTTGTTCCCGCATTGAATTTACTTTTTTTTGCATTGAATAACTGGTACATATAGCGCGTAAGCACTGCAAGTAAAGTAAGAATTGAGACGTGTAGATAAATTTTTTATTTTGCAATACTAATAACACACTCGTTGCAAGCATTTACGAACTTTGCAGGTCAATATCTTTATTTATAATAAAGATATTCAATCTCACAAACGCTCAAATTCTTTGGAAACGTAAGCTCTATGCACATATAAAATTTGATAAAATCATTGCTTAAACGCACTAAGGTATGTGACTTGCAACTATGACATAAATTAAAAAAAAAAATAGTTTAAAAATGGAGTTGACATTTTCAATAATACCAAAATATTACATAGAATAGAGAAGTTATGTAAAATAATCAGGATCAATGTGAAAATACGTTAAAAACCGTCACGATGGACTGAATTTTTCCAAAATTGTTAAGTACTTAATTGCACAATAAGTTTAAAGAGTTTGTAATTCACTCAAGTTCAACGTGTAACGGACTACTTTATCTTTATTGATATTAAAAATAAACATGTTCTTATTTTTCTTTAAAGTAATGAAATAGCAGTATTTCTTTTTTGTAGTTTTATCATATTTTGGCGTACAAATTAAATTGACGACATTAAGCCAAAACCTAACTATTTCACAACAAAACTAAGCTTAAAATGTTTATTAGTCACACAGTTTCATCTACGATACGACACAACTAAAACAATTTGAAATATACAGAAGTAGAAATCATTTTGCCCACTATCATAATAAACAATGTACTGGTTCATATTTTTTTAAGCAATTACCAGACAAATATATTTATAAAATAATTACCTGATGTAAAGCTTTTGTAAAATTTGTTGGTAAACTACCGTTTTTTCTTACAAACAAGCTCAAGTTTTTGTGTACATCATCTTTCGAGTCCTAATAAAAACTTATAAAATTAGTGGTCCAACATTTTTGAGATATTTTATAATCTGTCAAAATTTTAAAATTACCAATAATTACTTTGAAAGGTTTACTCCATTTTGAGCAATTAATTTATAAGTTCCATCTTTGAGGAGACCAGTCGAATCATTAAATGGGATCGTCGGTATCGACACTGTCACGAAGCTTGTAAAACAACCAGCATACATTGAAATAATAATAAATGCTGTCAGATACAATGACAGTCTTACAATCTTCAGCGAAAGGGGGCTATACTGTACATCTGCAAATTTTGTAAGAAATATAGGAACAGTCGATTTATAATTCTCAATAATTATTCAGTGTTCTAAAATCAAGGGGCTGCGGACTCCAAAGTCTTTTGGTGACTTACGAGATCTTTGAAAGACTTAGAATGACTTATAAAGTCTTTTTTAATGACTTAAAATCTATTTTAATGACTACATGCACTCTTAAAGTCCTGGCAAAAAGTCTGAAGTCTTTTTAAAACTTTTCTTAGAATGACTTACGAAGTTTTTTTTAATGACTTTAAGAGTGCGCAGACTCTCGTTTAAAATACATTAATTTGAAGGTTTTGAAAAATCACAAAAATCTAAATAACTAAGTTTGTAGAGTTATTCTGTTGTGGCTTATATAATCATTTTTAAATCAAGATAATTAGTTTTGCCTAGGTAGAGCAAGCGAATCGTCTCTTAGCCCTTTAGACTCTTGATGGACACTTTAGTTTTAAGCGCTTGTATCTTTAAACTATATTTTTTGTACAAAGGTTTATTTTCACTAGCTAAAGAGCATCTTTTGATTAAAATTCAAAGGAAATTTAAAAAAAAAAAAAATTTTATNTTAATGGATAACAATAATAAATTGTAAGATTTTTTTTTTTTAATTAATTGCTCATGAAGCGCTTTTACCTTTAAACTATATTTTT